CTCTCACGTATCCAGGAATTCAGAATAAGAAATCATTTTATGAAAGATGAGTAATCAGCTGAGCCTTGAAGAATGTCAACTGATGGATAAGAGCAGGAAGGCAAGAAGAGCTATGAGCCAAAGGTCTAGATCTGAGTGAATATGAACTATGGAGGAAGGGCGAGGAGACGATGGTGAAGAAGGCTGGCTTGACTGAAAGTGGCTATGTCAGAAGCTGGAGGGTCTTTAGCAGTAAACTGAGGGATTTAGACTTTAATGGAGAAGAAACAGGTTGAAGGTTCTTAAGCAAGCTAGGGACAATATTTTAGGGAGATTATTCTGGCACTGGTGAACGGTGATAGTTTAGGGTGGAAAAGTTGAGAGGCAGGACCTGATAGTGAGGCTATCATAGTAATGAAAGCTTGGGTAGGAATTAGATGGTGGTTAACAAGGAGAGTGTAATGCTTACAAAACCAAACCAAACCCAAAACCCATAGATCCACACACATACGGAAGGACAGAAGAGTGCGCATCCAAAAAGAAAAATGCCAATATTTCAAGCCTGGAGAACTGGAAGGATGGTGCTGATGATTCAGGCACTGGGAAAAGATACAGCCCCAATTTCTATACTGCGCCAGCAATAGCTCCGCCACCAAGGAAGTCTGGATGAAGTTTCCATGTCAAACAAAATGTCAGAGTCAAGATCGGAGTTTTTCAGGTTACAGGTGAACGTCATCCAACAAAGTGATTTTTTTAAAAAAATCCTAACCTACAAGCAGTACCAAGAGTTGATCTAACTCTAATAAGGAAGGGTACTATATATTCCTTTCAAACCTGTTATTAGTTCTCTTATCACATAAATGATCTGGTACTCAGGGCAGTTACGGAATAAGCTGCATGACACCTGACCCTCCTTACTTTGAGTCGATAGAAAGGAGCTTCAATTGAAAATGGAAGGAAACATCAGTTAGCATTGTAACTTCACTGGCACTCAATTTATTATAGCAGGACTGCTGAAGTCGAAGGTCTGTCAACATTTCCATTATAAACTTCTGTTTTCAGAGTCTTATAACTCAACCATAATAATTCACTCTGGGCTAAAGCCAGGTGTCAGGCCGGAAAGGGCTTTTATTTAATAATTCTAAGTGAATTTTTCATACTTATAAAAGTGCCAGATGTATAGCCTTGGCAGCTGTTGTCCTCTACATATCCAGAGGACAAGGGCATACAACTGGAAAGTTCACTTTCAGGAATTCACAATAGGGATTCGTGAAGAGAATGTATAATTGAAGATGAGTTGAAATCCCAAATCTGAATTACTACCTGTTTGACTATGGGCAAGTCACTGTCTGAGCCTGTTTTCTCATTTGTAAAATGTAGGTAACATCTGTAACACCTACTTCAACTAACAGGGTTTTTGTGAGGCTCAAATTAGATAATATTCAGAGGTTAACAGACTCAAGAGCTGGAAGGGACCTTAGAGGTCATTTGAAAAAAACATTATAGTGGGAAAAGCATTGGATTCAAACCTTATGGGTGTTACTTGCTACTTGCACAACCATGGGACCGCTTACCTTCCTCCATCTGTAACATTATGGGATTGGACTACACATAACTTTTTAAGGTCACTTCCACCTCTAAGGCTATGATCCTATTATCTACTGTCAGTTCCCTCCCTCCTCTTTCCCTTTTAACGAATAAGGAAACTGAACCAAGGAGCAGAGAGGTTAAGTGACATTCACACTCCTCTATCTCCAAGCCCAGGGCTAAGCACTTTGAAAAATTTAAAGCATTATTTAAATTCAATTATTTTGCCATCCTCCTTGACACGGCTGAAACCAAAAAGGGAATGGCTAGTTAGCTTTTATAAATGACCATAACCAACTTTCTTTGGGGAAAAAAGGAACACAGAAGATGCTACAACTTCCTACGACTGAAGAAGTGCTTACATCTGCACTTCAGGCTCACTGAATGGACAGCTAATTGCAGGGTTTTAGCTTTTCAGATAATCTTTTTTTTTTAATCTTCATATTTTGAAGGCTTAATGAGCTGGCGTCTTTGGCAAAATGCAGAAATTACACCTTGAATGGAATGACAGGTCTTGTTGGGTAAGGTGTGTCATTGATTAAGAGGTGGAGTCATTCTACTTAAACAGTTATTAGAGTCACCATAAGTCAGCACTTAAGAGGTTATACTCATCGTTAATAAAGTGACTTTTCAAAACAGCTTAGGTGCCAGAGCTGAATTTATACCACCTCTGGAAAGACCAGGAATGAAAGTGGTTCAGAAAGTATGTTGTATCCACCTTCTCCACTCAACTTCTATTACAAGGCTCATTACAGATTCAGGTTGGCCAAAGGTCAAATCTTGTCAGGAAGCTAGTATAATACAAAGCAAATAGGATTTGGAGTAAGGACCCAGGTTCAAACTCAAGCTTAAGCAAGGCACTTCAGAACTGTCAGCCACAATTCCCTCATCTGTAAAATTAAAAAAAAAAATTGGACTGAATGAGCTCTAAGGTCCAACCCTAAATTTTCTGATTATCCCTAAACGTCAGTTCCACATATTACTGACACACTGAGATTCCATCATACTATTTCAATTACCATCCCATTAGATTGCAAGCTCTTTGAGGGCAAGAACTGTCTTTTGTCTTTTTTTTTTTTTTAGGTATCCTCAGCACTTAGCACAGTGACTGGCACTGAGTACCCTTTTATAAATGTTTATCGATGATCAGTATGACCAGTGGGTCTATGCAGAACAAATACTGCTTTGGCTGAGATGGCAGCAGGAAAACAGAGCTTATAAAATTATGCCCTTCAGAAATGAAGGCTTCTGGGTCTTGTTTTCTGGGGGGCAGCTAATAAAGGTGGGTATTGGTCCCTTGTTATGCTTTCCCCCTAAAGCATCATAAAGGGATTCCACTGCAGTGATATAAGAATTCCTACCAAAAGCACATTAAGTTTGCCTTCATTTCTAAACCTTAATGGCAGGAAGAGGCAAACTAATGTTTTATTTTGTATTTATTTAAATTAAAAACTCATATTTTATTTTCTGACTCCCCACCTTAGAGGATATCATCCTTTTGCAGCAGACTATATTCTCATGACCCAATTTTCCCTTAAAGATAAATTTTGGGAAGTCAGAAGAGGTTCTAATACAAATAGTGTTAGAATACAATTTTTTAAAAATATGGCACCCTCCCCCTCCCCTAATCACTTTCCTTCACTTCAGGTCCTCTTTCTAGGAACACTCCCCAGTTCCAGTCCTCAGTTTTCTCAGGCCAAGGAGCCACAGAGGCTCTGGGAGAGCGGAGGAGTTTTGCAAAGGATAAGAGAGTGCAAGGGGCATCAGGTTTTTGGATGTGGACAAGGGCTTGAATTCCCTACTCTTGGACATATGGCCCAGCCTGGCCACACATTTTCAAAGACATCAAACTAAGGATGCTATTGGGTCAGCAAATTAGGTAAACCCACCCAAAGGGAACAGCTCAGCTGTAGAGGTCAGAATGACCTGCTCCAGGATAATGCATCAGGCACGTGCTATATAACTTTCCCACTAGATGCACAGATCAGCGGGAAGGAGCCTCAAGCAGCTCCCTCCCAAGGAGAGCAATGCTTTCTGTAACTAATGTTTCAAGGTGTCTGACTAAACCCTCAAAAGCAAGCGAGTGTTAAAGCTAACACTCTCGCCTTCAGCCGGGCAGACAAATGTGTCCCTAAGGGAGCCACCAGCCTCAACAGAAGGCAACAGGGGCTCAGCTCAGCTGGGAGTTCGGTGAAAAAAGGACAGACCCGGATCAATAAAGTCAACAAGCAGCAGTCAACTAAGTGCCTACTGTGTGCCAAGCACTGAGCTAAGTGCAGGGAGCACAAAGAGAAAACAGCCCCTGCCCTCAAGGAACTCATAATCGAAAGGGGAAGAAAACATGCAAAAACAACCGTACAAACAAAATTCAGAGACACCTCCAGTGAAGCCTCAAGGCAGCCTAGAGGAGGTGGTCGAGTTTTCACCCCCCACAGCCGGTCTGGTCCCTTCCCTTTGCAAACCCAAGCTAGCTCACCCCGGGAGCAACGACCCACAGCTGCCCGAACCTAGGGTGGAGGGCAATAAGGAAGGTTGAGGCCAAGGCTGCAATCGCCCAGGATAAGCTCCCCCTCCCGCCATCCCCAGGACCGCTTTCCCGCCCCCTGCTCCTCTCTCGCAGGATAAGGAGAGACAGAGAAGGAGAAAAAGGCCTGTCCACACAGCCCATCCCTTTTCTCCCGGGCAGGGAGTGGTGGGTCTGGGTACAAGAGTGCTGGGGCTGTAAAAGCCGGATCCCGCGCGGCGGGCAGCAGCGACAGCCCTGCCTCCTCCCCCCCCCTCCCCGGAGCGCGCGCGCAGCGGGGGGCGCCGGGCTCCGAACGTGAGCCCGGGAATCTGGGAAGCGGGACGCGACGGCCAGCTAGGGGTTCGGCCCACGCGCCCCGGCGGCGGCAGCATCTCCCCGTCGTCTCAGGCCTGTAGACGCCGCCGCCGCCGCAGGCCGCAGCCTGGACCAGCCTCCTGTTCGCGCCGGGGCTGGGACGGCGCAGTAGAGAAGGGTGCTGGGCGCCGGGCGGGCAGCTGCAGCGGCCAGTCCGGACTGCCCCTTTGCCCTGACCCCCCACCCCTCCTCCAGCTAGGCTGCCCGGGCGGACGCTACTCCTGCAGCAGCAGCTCCCGGTGTCATTAGAGAAATCCGGGGGCGGGGAAGCGGTGGGGGGTGGGGGGGAATAAGGGAGGCGGGGCAGGGCCGAGAGGAGGCGGCGATGCTTGCACACCGCCTGGGTGTGCTAGGAGGGAGGGGTGCTACGGGGGACTTGGGTACCCCCGGAGCTGCCCACCCCCGCCTCCACGGCCGCAGCAGTAGCACCACCTGCGGAGCTGCGGCGGACAGCCACCCACTTTCCTAGAGCCCCCCAAACCCCTCCCCACCCTCCTACACGCACGGTACCCCCGCACAAGTTGCAGGTTCCACCCTGCCGCGGGTCACTCACCCTCATCCCGTTCATCGGGCTCAGGCCGTCAGGCCGGGGGGACAGGGATGACCAAAGCACCACCAGCCCCAGAAAGCTTCCCACTACCAGCAAACTGCGTAAGATGAACCCGATCTTCAGCCTCATCTTCCTCGGGAGGCGGCGGCAGCAGCAGCAGCAGCAGCAGCAGCGGGAGACACACCAGCCCCAGCGCAGCCGCCGCTGCCACCACCACGGCTTTTTCCCTCCCTCCTCCTTCCACCCCCTCTCCCTCCTCCAGCCCAGCTCCTCGGGCTGCACTCCTCCTGCTCCTCCCTCCCCCTCCCTCCTCCCCCGCTACCGCTGCTGCCCTCCCCGCTCACTCCCTGCCTGCCCTTGGCAGCTCCCAGATCCGGAACTCCCCTATGCTCTCCACCTTCCTCCCTTAACTCTTTTTCCGCCGCCGCCGCTACAGCTGCTTCCCCGGGCTCTGAGCACCAACTCCTCTACTAGCTTCTGGCTCGCGGGATTCTTTTCTTCCGCCGCTCCAACCCCCACAAACGCGACTCTCGGGGCTCGGCGCTCACGCGCCCCCGCCAACCTCCTTCCCGAGCAGTGCCAAGCTCTGTCCGCCCTCGACCCTTCGCCTCCAGCCCCCTTCTCCGCCGTGCAGAGCCGACCCTCCCTCCTAGCTAGCGGGCGGACTCCCCAGCCTCACGCACCCCGCTCTCCCGGCCCCCTTCTGCCCCCCACCCCAACTCCTCTTTCCTTGGCGTCTGGTTGTGACACAGCCTTAGCCCCGCGCCTTTTGAGTTTCTCAAAGCTACACAAACTTCCCCCCTCCTTTCCCCACCCTACCCCACTTCTTAGGATTATTAATAACTTCTTAGGAGGGAAGCCATTGGTTTTCGGTTCCCCCTGTTTTAATATCGAGGGCGAGCCCACTCTGGGCTATGACCTTCCCTATAGTAACCCAGCGCCCCAAAACCCCAGCAGGGAAGACCTAAAACCAGGAAGTCTAGAGCAGCTGCCGCGGCAGCAGCTCCACGTGGCTGATTTATAGCCCCGAGGATTTTTTCTTATTGATTGTTCTCGCTTTTTCACCCGGCTCCTTAAGGAGGTGGATTTGTAACTGAAAGGCCCAGGTGAGTTGTGCAAATATGAGACTGCCTGTGCTGGCTGGAGAGGCTCAATTGTAAAACCTGGTATTTCACTTTTTCATGAGTGAGATAGAAGCAAGTCTATGTGTTCCACCATCCTCCTTTCTTTTTATGTCACGTTTTCACTCAGCAAATAAAGGTAATATTGAAACTTAGCAAGTCTGGGAACTTGACTACGTTTTTATACAGAGAAATGATTTTCTAACCTCCCTTTTGCAGTCCCCCTCTCACCAATTATTAGCCATCCCCAGCCTCGTTTCTACAACTTTTTTTTTTCCATTTGCTTGTTGAAAGGCTTAGGAGACCAAATCTGTAATGGGGGGCATTCCTTTATCTGTTCCTTTACAGGCCTTCAGTAAATATTACACCAAATGTCTCCACCCTAAGGAAATATTCTTTCTGCTTTCTGCACAAGCTGTCATCTTTATTATACCAGAAAGTGGCAAACAGCTCTGTCCCATATTTAGCAGACTGCAGAAACAACAATGACTACAACAAAAAAGACCCGAGGACAATTCGGGTAGACCTCTTTTCTGTTTACATTTACTTTAATTTAAATTAAATGAATTTTTGTTTTTTTAACTTACGTTTTAAGGCTTGGGGCAATGGTGAAATTTTAGGTCAGTTCATTTAGAGGACTGGTGTTCTGTAAGTGATGAGAGAAAGCATTCATTTACATCAAAGTTTTAGTAGACTGATACATTTTTACATGATTAGGGAATCAGAAGTAAATACCTTTTACTAGGCTTGCAGCATACTGAGGCTTATAGTAAAAACCAAAAAAATGTGGAAATGTCTTCCAGATTGCTTAGATTAATTTGCAATAGCAAATAAGATTGTGGGAGGATCCCTCTACATTTTGTGCATTTTGGGGATGTCTGAAAAAATAGAATCACAAATCCATGGAATTCTTACTTTTGGAGGTAATTGAATTTTTAAAAGCCTTTGTTACCCTTGGCTTAATCCAAATGCAAACCAAAATTGTACCACTCACAACATTTGCTATTAGTTGTCCAGGTTTCTTTCCATAATCCCACCAGATCTCTATAAGTCACCTGTTCAAGTGAGAATGTCATTCAATTTACATTTATGATCACAATGGTTCCTTCAGTGGAGATTTCACTTGGAGCTGTTAAGAAATTCAAACCTGGTACCACTTGGAACTAAACTGAGATAGAATACCAACTGTCAGACTAATCGACTTTGGTTACTATGAACTCAAGGTACATTTGAACTGGTGACCCATAAATTAAAGGCTTACATATCCCATTACCAATCCCCTGAATCATTTAATCCCCTCCCCTTGTAGGATTTAGAGAAAGCATTTCTGGAAAGTATCTACAGTACAAAAAAAAATTTTTTTTCAAGAAATACTGCCATGTGTAAATAAAGCAATATTAAGAAAGGTGTGAGTACTGGGCTGTAAGATTATTCATTTTATTAAGCATGTACTGAATGTCTCAAAGAGGTAGATGGTGCAGGGGATTAGAATGCCTGAAGTCAGGAAGACCTCAGTTTAAATCCAGCCTCAGATACTTCCTAGCTGTGTGATCTTGGGCAAGTCATTTAACCCTGTTTGCCTCAGTTTCCTCATCTGGAAAATGAGCTGGAGAAGGAAATGGCAACCCACTCCAGTATCTTTGTCAAGAAAACCCCAAATAGGGCCATGAAGAGTCAGACATGACAGAAAAACCAGCAAACCACAGTAAGAATGTCTCAAAAGTTAGTGTAGTTTGTAGCTTTAATACTTTAAATAGTAGCTTTAGTAATATTGGCTATCTCACAGGCATCTCAAACTCAATATGACCAAAACAACTCATTATTGTTCCCCCCAACTCACCCCTCTTCTGAACTTCCCTACTGCTTACTGAAGTAATTGTTTTCCTTCCACTCATCTAGAGTCACAACCTTGGTATCTTCCTTAACTACCCATTCTTCCTCACTCAGGATGTCCTATCTGATACCAAGTCTTGTTATTGGGAATAAGAGAACTGGAGTGCCCATCTTAGCTCTGTCACTACTTGAATGATATTAGGCAAGTCACTCAACCTGGGCCTTAGTTTCCTTATCTATAAAATGAAGAAGTTGGACTAGATGACCTCAGAAATCTCTTTAACTTTCAGATCTACGATCCTGGGAACATCTCCCCCATTGCACAGTCACTAGGCTATGTCAGGCCCTCCTTACCTCTCCTTGCCTGGTCTGTGGCAATGGTTTCCTAACTGGTCTTCCTGTTTCCAGTCTCTAAGTCATCTTCTACATGGCTACCAAAGTGATATTCCTTAACCACAGTTGTCATCACAGCACCATCCCCCTCAAGTGACTCCCTATTGCCCTTATGAAACATGCAAACTCCCCTTGTTAGGCGTTTAAGGCCCTTCACACTGGCTTTGGCCCACCCTGCCAGGTTTATGACACATTACAGCCTTTCATACATTCTACAGTGCGGACAAATTCACCTACGTGTACTGTATATTTGGTATTCTATCCCCATCCCCATGCTTTTATAATCCTTTCTCACTTCTGTCTTTTACAATCCCTCTCCTCCTTCAAAGCTTTGTTCAGGTGCCACGTCCTACCTGAGGCCTTTCCTGATCCTCCATCTGCTAGTGCCTCTCCCTCAAAATTGCTTTGTATGTATTTTGTATAAACTTAGCTATGTCCTTACACGTTGCTTCTCAGGATCAAACAGGTGGAGCATTCAATGTTTGTCCTTGTATCCCCAGTTCCTGGTAGTTGCTTAATAAATGCTCATTGATTGATTAGTTGATCAGAGTCATCTTTTTTCCTAGGGTAGGTATATCTTAATTTAAACAAAACCAATGCTTGGATCTGAACAAATGACAGATGACTTAATAGCTAGCATTTATATAGGCAGCTAGGTGGCAAAATGGATAGAGTGCCAGGTTTGGAATCAGTAAGACTCCTTTTTCTGAATTCAGATCTGGCCTCAGAGACTTCCTAGCTGTGTGACCCTGAGAAAGTCACTTAACCCTATTTGCCTCAGTTTCCTCATCTGTAAAATAAGCTGATGAGAGAAGTGGCAACCCACTCCAGTATTTTTGCCAAAAAAAAACCCAGATGAGATCGTGGAGAGTTAGACACGACTGAAATGACCGAACAACAAACATTTATATGGTGCCTCCTGCAAAGCACTTTACACATTTTATCTCTGGTTCTCACAACAACTCTTCAAGGTAGGTGATGTTATTATCATCTCCATTTTTTACAGTCAAGGAAAGTGAAGCAAACAGAGGTTAAGTGACTCTTCTAGGGTCACACAGCTAATAAGTGTCTGAGGTAGGATTCAAGTTCAGTTCTTTCTGACGCCAAATCCAGTGCTCTATCCGCTAACTGCCTACTGTGTGTTTTCTCCATTGGTGCATATCACAATCTACCCATGACCTCTCATCCTCTGCAACTCTTGTTCATAACCTCCCCTAAGTCTCCTACGGGGAGTCTGCCCAATTTCGCATCACGTGGGTGCCAGTGCAGTGGATGGGCTTTCTGTCTCTTGTTCTGTATTTCTCCTTCAGGGCCGGTCCACCTCTCTACCTGCAGGTAATTCCCCTTCAGTTCTTTGTTCTGAACATCAACCGTGTCAGTGACAGAGCACCATTGTTTTATGCCTCACTTCATATTAATAATCAGAGGCTCATGGAGCAAAGTTATTCCATTGTTGTTGTGTTAAGGAATCTTTTGTGATCTTAGTATACAAGACTCCTTGTAAGAGAAGAGCCTTTTGGAGGAGATCTCAACCAAATAAAATACGTGGCACAGTCAACAGAGTGCTGGGCCTGGAGTCAAAACTCAGATCTAAGTTCAGATATAGCTTCAGATGCTTACTAGCTCTGTGACCCTGGGCAAGTCATTTAACTTCTATTTGCCTCTCATCTGTAAAATGGGGACACACTGGAGAAAGAAATGGCAAAGCACTCCAGTACCTTTGTCAAGAAAACCTCATGGTCTGTGGGCTCATGAAAAGTCAGACACAACTGAACAGCAACAAAATACAGTAGGATTTTATATTCTTTGAGCCTTTCAATCAGTTTTGTGAATGTAAAGAAATGACATGCTATAAAATATCCTTTTTGGAAGCTTTGTAGAAGCTTTCCTTTCCTCCTATTTTCCTATTTT